GTTCCTAGTAGGGAATGAGGGAATGAGGTACAGTACCCTGTCTGATCCCTACAGCAAAGGGAATGTATAGGGCCCTAAACGCTAAACCCTAAACCCCCTACCCTAAACCCTAAACCCCAGACCCGAGACCCTAAACCCTAAACCCTAAACCCCCTAAACCCCCTAAACCCCCTAAACCCCCTAAACCCCCTAAACCCCCTAAACCCCCTAAACCCCCTAAACCCCCTAAACCCCCTAAACCCCCTAAACCCCCTAAACCCCCTAAACCCCCTAAACCCCCTAAACCCCCTAAACCCCCTAAACCCCCTAAACCCCCTAAACCCCCTAAACCCCCTAAACCCCCTAAACCCCCTAAACCCCCTAAACCCCCTAAACCCCCTAAACCCCCTAAACCCCCTAAACCCCCTAAACCCGAAACCCTAAACCCTAAAGGCAGGGTAGTGGTGAGGGACCTGCTCACAAGGAACATTGAAGTTGAAGCTTTGCTTGCACCTCATCACACTTTACTTTCGGTTTGCCCCTTTTTTTCAATTCTTCCACGAAGGCTCCGTTCTTAGACGGGGTGGCGGGGTAGCGGCGAGGGACAATGAAAACCTGAATTGAAACTTGCTTTGCTTCTGTCCTCAGCATTGCTTCTTTGACTCTGGACATCTTCCAAAGCCCCTTGCTCTCGATTACTCGATGAATTTCTTGCTCGCGCAGTAGTGCTCAAGAGCAAAGCGACCCAGCCCGTGCAAAGAGCAGAAACCATGCGCGGGGTACCACATCAAGTCAGAGCACTTCTCGTGACGGAATACTTCCGACCCGCCAATGGAAGGGCTCCAGCCAAAGTCCTCCTGGCGATGCTCGGCCCGCAGCCCAAGGAGGGTTTCCCGAAAGACGGCTTTGTGGGGCGAGCTAGCCATCGAAAGGAATGATTAGCCCAATCGAGGCGTGGGCGAGCCAGACGAGCCCGAGGCCGAAGGGGGCACAACTGCGGAGCCGGGCGCTTGTTGGTCCATCAGCAGAGAGCCGCAATTAAGAAGCGGTGCTGCGCCGCAGAACCCTAGGAGTAGTTTGTTGTGTTGGCACTTTTTGCAAGCAGATTTGTGATCTTGTCCTTTCGGCTAGTAATTTGTTGGTGATTTTTTTGTGCTCGGCTATGGCCACCCCGTGCTTCCCTCCAAATCTATACGATGCCTCTTCTAATTTCGCAATTTTCTCTCTAGATTCTTGCTCATTTCTCACTATGTTCTTGCAAATCTCTCGCTAGTCTCCGTCCAGCCCCAAAATCTCTTGTTTCTCGGGTTCGATGGTTTTCCTAGGGGAATAGCAAGAAATTTGCAAGAACTTAGCGAGAAATTAGCAAGAAACTAGAGAGAAATTAGCGAGAACTTAGAGAACGATTTCACAAGAGCCTTAAACACTCAATTATTTTCATTTTTCGCACAAACTTCCCGCACATTTCCTGCAGATTTCTTGCAATTTCTATCTACTGCTCGGAAAATGCTTGCAATTTTCTCGCAATTGTTCTCTCAATTTTCTCGCAAACACTTCTCTATTTTAATATTTCATGATTTCCAGTCTGTGCATGACCCTCGCCAGTCACAACCCGAATGTATTTTGACCAGTGCAGTGCAAGAGAACGCATGCCAGGCGAGCGTCCTGTGGGAAGACGTCCTCGACTCTGGAGGCTGGTGGGCCTGGACCACTGGACCACCGTTCTCATGCGGGATCTCTTCAAGGAGCGCGACCGGGAGGACCCGCTGCAAGAAGTCTCCGTGACCCCCGCCCTCGAGTTCGTCGACAAAACATGAAGGTTGTTGCTCTCGGTGAGGCAGAGCACCTGCGCTGCAGCCGCACTGCGCTCGCTCGCCGCCTCATGGGCGTGCGAGGCTACGTGTGCCAGCAGTACACGACTGCCTGCCCCAGTCAGCCCTGACGAGCGGCCGGCGCTGACGGCTCGTGCGCCGGCTCGTGCGGCCAAGGCCGCAGCCAAGGCCGGCTGCCGTCGTCAGAGCCGAACTCAATAAGCAGCAGCTAGACAGAGCCCGGTAGCCTCAGCTTTGTCGTGTTGGAGCCCAGCTTGTAGAATGAGTCCCACGCTTCAAGCTTCAGAATCTTAGCGTAAGTATATACGTCATGTTCCCGAACTGGGACCAAGAAGAGAGGAAGAGAGAGAGAGAGAGAGAGAGAGAGAGAGAGAGAGAGAGAGAGAGAGAGAGAGAGAGAGAGAGAGAGAGAGAGAGAGAGAGAGAGAGAGAGATAGAGATAGAGAGAGAGAAGAGAGAGAAGAGAGAGGGAGAGAGGAGAGAGAGAGCGAGAGAGTAGGAGAGAGAAAGAGAAAAGAAAAGAGAGAGAGAGAGAGAGAGAGAGAGAAGAGAGAGAAGAGAGAGGAGAGGATAGAGAGAGACAGAGAAGAGAGAGAGAGAGAGAGAAGAGAGAGAGAGAGAGAGAGAAGAGGGAGAGGGATGAGGGAGAGAGGGAGAGGGGAGGAGGGAGAGGGAGAGGGAGAGGGAGGTAGGGAGAGAGGGAGGGAGGAGGGAGGGGAGAGCGGGAGGGGAGGAGAGGGAGGGAGGGGGAGGGAGGTAGGGAGGGAGGGAGGAAGGAGGGAGGGAGGGAGGGACTGAGGGAGAGGGAGAGAGGAGAGGGAGAGAGGAGAGAGAGAGAGAGAGAGAGAGATAGAGAGCTAGAGAGAGAGAGAGAGAGAGAGACGAGAGAGAGAGAGAGAGAGAGAGAGAGAGAGAGAGAGAGAGAGAGCGAGGGAGATAGATAGATGGATGGATGGAGAGAGAGAGAGAGAGAGATTGTATATATGTATATATATATATATATATTTTTTTTTTTGCATGCTTCGAGGCGAAAGCAAAACAGCTGCTGGAGCTGCAGCAGGAGGTCAAGAAACGCCGCGAGGCCTTGTGGGCAGTCCCCGCACGGGTCTGTGGCGCGGAGGGGTGCCGGCGTGCTTGCTGCCAGGACCTGGAGCGCAAAAAGAAGCGCGCGGACCTGAAGAGAGAGCGCGGCGGACGACGAGGAGGCCCGGCTGTCCGCCACTGTCGCTGCTTCGGAGGTTGCTGGGTGCTCTCGTCTAGGCGTTCACCTCATCACTCATGAGCGTCAAGACAGGTTAAGATTATCGAGAATGCTGCGCGTGCACTATGCAAGTGACCCACCGTACCGCAGGGCATCAAGCAGCTCAAAGACCTGCGCTTCAAGGACAAGGAAAGGCAGCGAAAGAAGCAGGAGCGCGACCAAGAAAAGGATTGCCTGCGTGGGCAGGGTCCATGTCGCGTGTGTACGACACGAGAAGTCCCGAAGCCCAGAAATCAGGATCTACACCTCCGAGACGTGCCGTTCACCCGCAAACCTCAACCCCAGACCCTAGAAGCCACGGATCCCGGTCCTTGAAACCCGAAAACATGTCAGGCAGCCACGCCGGAGCTCGTTGCGCTGGAAGGCGTGCTGCCCGTCGCCGGCACACCCAAGGCGATTCGTGAGAAGTGGGCAGGCTGCTGCCTGGGGCAGCCCTGAATCAGTCAGTCGGAAGCGCAAGACAGAGGCGGAGCGGTCAACGGCAGGGATTTCCCTTGAACCCCGAACCTCACTGCGAAGCCGCGTAGAAAACGATGGTTTTGGTGACCCTTCATTTCTCGAAAATGTGATGCCTGCCCCTCAAGCACGGGCCTCCCATGCAGGGGCCTCCCAGGCACCTAAACCCTAAACTCTTAACCCTAAATCCTAAATCCTAAACCTAAACCCTAAATCCTAAATCCTAAATCCTACATCTTAAATCCTAAATCCTAAATCCTAGGAGGACGCTCCAAATCATGCGGTTTGGGGTAACTAGCTTAGGAACGAAGAGCAGGACTGTCGCCTGCGCGCAGGTTCACTTAGTTCTTAGCGTCGACCGTCCTCGCCGGACGGGTCCAAGTCGGCGTCCATTAGGGCTGAAGTCCGTCGTGTGGACGCACCGCGCCCACCAGTGGGGACGCGGTAGCAACCGCCGCCAGCGCTAGCTGGGGAAAGCGGCGGTCTTTGTTTAGGGTTTAGGGTTTAGGGTAGGGTTGTCCGTACGGCTCTGGGGGCATGTTATCGCCCAGCTCTTGCGCTCACACCGTGGGCCGCCCGACGGGCAGGGCCGGGCAGGGCCGGGCAGGGCTGATTTATGGGGGCGATCCATGGCGGGATTGGGCTTAGATCGACATGACTGAGCAGCAGGTTCACAAGAAGCTTTTTTTCCCCATAAGGCATCGGTCGCACAGCTTCGCATTTTGCGATGAACCAGCCTGCGCAGGGTCTCGTTTGTGATCATGTTATTGTTTCACAGTGTAGCAGATTGTATCAGAAAGCAAGCAATCCCAAGAGACAAACACCGATCTTTTTTTTCAAGCGTCGTGCAACACTGCACTGGTGATGTGCCCACTAGTTGGGCACCGGAGAGAACAGTGCATGATTAGGCACGTCACATGCTCCGAACAGCTGCACACTCGCATGTCACGTTGTCATTGTCAATGCATCATGTCTGCTGACTGCTGTCTGAGTTGTTGTTTCACGACCCGGAGCAAAGTGCAAAAGTTGATACCAAAGCCAAAGCAATGTAGCTGTAGTCAGGCTCCTCCACACACACACTTTGTGCCCAAGTCTTAAAAGTGCATGATGTCACATGTCGTAAGGGCAACCCCGGCCAGACTTGTCACATACATTGCAGACTGTGCACACAGGGCACACAGGGGTAAGGATGATGCGTGAAGAGTTGTGCGCCGTGCGCCGCATCGCTGCGACTTTCCAAGTAATTATAGCACTGTCGAACCATCGAAAGACAACCTGTGACAACCAGCAAAAGATGTAACTTTAAATTAGCATCTAGAATCTAACATTAATCTAACATCGTTTGCAGGAGGCGAGCAGCGTCATCTCAGGCATTGTGGTTGTGTTTTACACACAGGTTGAGTTGAGTGCATGCAAATCAGGACAAGAAGCATGCTGTTCACAAGCGCATTCGCCGCATTCACTCCACGGACTCAACGGACCAAATGCTTGGCATGATTTGGCACCCTGGCCCGGAGCTTTTTCGCTGCGGATTCACCACCACTACCACGAGCAAAGGCTGAGAATCTGCTGACACCATTGCCAGCCTCGCCCTCGCCGCATGCATCTGTTCCCACTTGGCCCATGCCGAAAGCGCTCAGATGCTTGTCCGCCTTGTGCCAGTCATCTTCATCGACAAGGCCCTGCCCGGGATATGCACGCTTGACACCCTTCTTGGGTTTCCATTCCTCGCCCAGCCTTAGCTGTCAGTGTGCGTGCTGCGTCACCGTTCAATGTCTAGAATCTATATCTTTACATCTAGTGTCTCTGCATCATGTTTGTGTGCGCTGTGTGGCCGCAACAACTCCACACCAACTCCACATGACACACACTAAGCGCAGCACAGATGTGCTCGCATCATCAAAGCATAGGCCTTGCCTCCAATGATTTTCACGAGAACGGGCGTGCACTCCATTTCGTCGGGACTCTGTGGCATGTACAGATGTGGCAGCCAATACGATATGGATTGCCCCTTGTAGTCCATGGTCTCTTCCGACGCACCGACGCGGAGCATCGGATTGCGAAAGTCCGTTGGCGGGACCATCCACGCAGGACACACGACAGCGCAGTCAAGCTTGTTCACAGAAGACCCGCTCATGTAGAACGGCAAATCACGCATCTCAAAGCGTGGCTGCCCGAGCTTCCCGTCTTCAGCATCATCGTCATCATCATCACATATCGTCTCTCCTCAGCTGGCTGTGAAGAAATCCCCAAAGACACTGACTGACCGACAGGGTCACGACACACTACGTCACTACGACTCGCTACGACGACGCATGACAGGAATCAAAGCAAAGCGAATGCGGTGAATGCAATGCAGCCAGGACGCTGTACCTGAATGGCCTGCCACAATTCTGCACACAAAGCACCTGTGTCGTCATGATTTTGGGTGGCTTCGAAATCAACGGAGCATCGTTGCCTTGGAAAACGCTGCAGGCTGCTGCAGCAGCATAAGTCTACCACACATGCAGGGCACACGTCATGCTGGGCAACCGCCAAGAAGGCCAAGAAGCTGATGTCACCCCAGAAGTGCAATCGAAACTTCTCCCTGAAGGAAGATGTCGTGACGTCACCCAACCAGGCTCGCACTGTCTCACTCGGCTTACCATCTCTCTGGGCGACGTTTGCATCTTGCACAATCTTTGACACCTTCTCGTTGGACTCATCAAGAAGAAGTAGTGCTTCCACATTTGTAGTGGTCTTGTCGCCTTTCTCCTGCGTCACAATGTGGAACCACACGGCTTTGCGACAGCCGTTCTCATCCTCATACTTCCTGCGCAACAACAACAACACCTACTACTACTACAACTACAACAGCTACAACAGCTACAACAAGTACAACAACAACAGCAACAACAACAACAACAACAACAACAACAACAACAACAACAACAACAACAACAACCCGGAACAGGAACAGCAACAGCAGCCATGGCAACAGCAGCAACAACAACAACAACAACAACAACAACAACAACAACTACTACTACTACTACTACTACTACTACTACTACTACAACAGTAACAACAGCAACAGCAGCAACAACAACAACAACAACAACAACAACAGCAGCAACAGCAGCAACAGCAACAGCAACAGCAACAGCAACAGCAACAGCAACAACAACAACAACAACAACAACAACAACAACAACAACAACAACAACAACAACAACAACAACAAGTACAAGACAGCAACAACAGCAGCAATCCACAACAACAAGCAGCAGCAGCAGCAACAGCAACAGGACCCAGGACAAACCACCAGCACCAGCACTGCACCGACAACAACAGCAACAGAGACTGCGCTACTACTGCACTTCGCTGCCACGACATTACGACCAACACATGTGCACTGTTGACTGCGCGCCTTGCCCTCGTCATCATCTCGGCTGCCAGTGAAAGTCGAAAGGCATGGATCGACTCGGTTGTCTTCAACAGCGGCGGTGGCGGTGACTGTGATTCACCCTCTGGAACTTCTGCCGAATCTTCATGATCCATGCTTCTCAGCAATAGGCCTTGGCCACCCTTCGAGAAGTCGATTTCGGAAGGCAAGTCCCCTACCGCTGTGTACGAAAGCAGCCGTGAGGCTTCTGCTGCGCAAGCAGCAGCATCGGCTTTGTTGACTTCGCGTTGGGCACCTGTGCCTGTGGATGCGGAAGCGGATGTGGAGGCTGTTGGGCCATTAACGCCAGTAGACTGCTTCTTGGTACTCGTTGCATCATCAGTCACCTCCTCGATGGTGAACTTTCCCTTACTCATCAGCATACTGAAAGCATTGCAGTAGGCAGTTGACATCTCAGCTTCAGCATGTCCGATCCCACACAACGCATCAAGCTTCCAGAACACAGTCTCGTGATCTTTGACCAACTTCTTCAGCTGTTCAGCTGGCATGGGAGTGCGCCCGTGCAATGCAAGCAGGCAAGCCTCAATGACGTAGCTAGCTCGTAGCTTCGCTAATGAACTGACGGCATTGAGTGTGAACACCTGATTCACAAACTCGCTGCGAGCATGCTCACGCAATGCACATGGCAGACGACCCCAGCTGTTCGTAGTTTGGCGGCCAATGATCTGAGCGGCTGCTGCGACTGCCGGCGGCAGCTCAGCACAAACCGTCTGACAGACTTGAAACAAGCAGTCCATGACATCAGCCTCTGGTTGGTGCACCAAGCATGTGTGACTGTTGGTCCTGCAGAAAGCATGGCTACACACAACACACCGTCATAGTCATAACGTACAATCATGCCGACTCAAGACACTCACACTCACTACTGACCGCTGACCACTGTGCACGCACACATGTAGCGCACACGGTCCTGTGCTCGCCACAGCTGCAAAGGGTTTCCCAATGCACCATGATCTTGTTCATTGTCAGGTGTTTTGACACATGCTCTTCCAAGGGATTTGTAAGCTTGGTAGCTGAAATCTCCATGTCAAGCCACGCGAACAGTGCTGGCAAAAGTGTATCCAGAGCATTTGACTCGTGGGCTTGCAACACATTAGCTAGCTCGGTCCGTGTCGAGCTTGCACTGGGTGATGGCAGCAGCAAAGCATCCGATAGATGATCGACAAGTTGTGCGTCAGAAGGACGCGTGCCAGAACTTGTGAGCAGCGTTCTTGCTGAGTTCGCCGCCTGTGCTCAAAAACCGCCAGCTTGAGAGTTCAGTTGAGTCTTCGTGTCATGCTTATAGTGCAACATGCCCAATGTATGTCGACACACACAGCACACATGTCACACTTGCCTTCTGCCACAATTGGATCGCGTGAGTCTGTAGCACAGGTCGCATCGACGACCACTTTTTGTGGCTTCGCTTCAAGAAGAATTCCTTCGTGTGGCAGAAAGCGAGCCCGTAACGCACACACTCGTGGAGAATGGACAGCTCCATCTGGTCGTAGATGAGCTGTCCACTTTCCGTGTCAGCCGGGAGGTCGCCAGTGCTTGCGCCTAGCCTTGCACGGGCGGAGCGGATGGCGCTCCGCACACACATGACCAAGCAGTCCACGAAGTATTTGTCCCTGGTCAGCACACCATGCGCCCCGTTCAACATGACCTCGCATTCTGTTTTGCCTTCGTCATTCTCAACTTCTTCGAAGGCTTTGCCCTTTGCCTTTGCCTTTGCCTTCGCCTTTCCAGCGGCTTTTGCCTTGGGGGCGCGCTTCGTTTTGCTGGTATCATCAGCCAGCAGTTTCATCGGATCTTTTGATTTCTTTTTGTTTTCCTTCTGCTGCTTCAGCTTCTCTTGAATCTCAAACACTTTGCCACTCATGGGTGTCATCAGAATGGTCATGTCGGAAGTCGCATGTGACGCTTTGCGGAAAAGCCACTGATATCCGTCCAAGTTGAGCGGCATCTTAGTCGAGACAAGCATGCTGCATAACTGCGTTTCATCACAAATAATTTGAACTTCTCTCATATCATAACAACAACGAACCCTCACCTCACTGCACACACTAAGTGGTTGCATAATCTGTCAATCTGCAAGCAAGCATCGCACGCAAACATCAGCTCCAAGACTATGGCTTTCATCTCTTGTGCTGTCATGGCGTTGGCGAACAGGTTGCAACCACTGATGATTTCCTTCATCGTGCCAATCACATTGTCGTGCGACAGCTCGCCATTTAAGAAGTCGCAGTGTTTCTGCGCGAAGGTCTTCATGTCGTTCAAGCAATCATAGCGACCGAGCGCGTTGTACACGAATCGGGTTGCCTCAAAGTGTCTGTAACTGGTCCAAATCTCCGGCCATTGCTTTGCCACAAACTCTCGGTACTTCGTCTCGTAATCTGCGCTTCTGGCCGTCAAGCCAGTTTCAAGCTTATGGTTGGACCATGCCTTCTCAACCTGAACTCAAACAGCATGTCTCGTGGTGACCGTCACCGTGATTCTACACACACATCTGCATGAATGGTGTATGCCTATGCTAAAGTCGCTCAGCAGCATCAGGGATCTTGACGATCATCTCTACGAACGATGTTTGACTTCCGCGATGGAATTGATTGTGATAGGTTATCCTGACAGTGGGTATCAGAGCTGGGCTGATGCTTTGTTTTCAACAGGCACAGTCAGACACAATCACATGGTCACACCAACAAACAAGCTGACAATGCAGTACTGCTGGCGCGTCGCAAGAACTCCAACACTGATGTGGGCGTTCTGCAATCGAACACCACTGCATCCAAGCCAGCTTTTGCAGTCAACTTGAGATTGGCATGATCATCTCTGTCCGGCTTGGCCCATGCTTCGTAGAAAGCCTCTGTCCTGACATTGGATTCCGATCTTGTATCTTGACTCTTGACTCTTGACTAAGAAGCTGAAACTACGCATGCTGTTGCTCACACTCAATCAATCAGTGAATCAGCACACAACAATACAACAACATGCTTCCAAGATACAACGTGCCAAAAGTTAAAGCCAAGTATGATGTTTCGTTCGCGTCCACATCGGGTGCACGAAGCCACGCTTCGCCGCGGACGCCGCGGATGATCCCTCTGGATTGTACAGACTTCGTGTACTCTGCAAGCACCAAATCTTGCCGTCTGGAGTTTAGTGGATGACGACAGATGTGTCGTTGTTGATCGTTCTCCGAGACGAAAAACGGCACGTTCTTTATGCCTGGAACCTCTGCGACACGTGACGCTGCGCGACGGCATGTTGTCAAGCACAGCACAGGTACACACAAAAAAGCAGTTGAAGCACAACCTGGACGCGCCTTGTACGTCTTGATGATTTCGTCCACAAGCTGACGCCCTGCTTCAAAGTCAGACCCGAAGATGTCAGTGAGTGAAGCGTCCTTGCAGTACGCCTTGGCCGGATTGGCCTCGATGTTTTTCTTCGCCAACCGAGCACTGCCACTTGACTGCTTCATGTCTGTGTTCCCCCAGTGACTTCCTTCGACACGCAGCGCTCGCACGCAGTGAGAGAGCAACTGAGCAACCGTGAGCCGAATCGAGCCAACCAAGCCACGTCGAATCACACAGATTCGTAACCTGCACTTGCATTCTCGAGCCAAAAAGAAACAAAAAGCCAGCCGCCTGGTAACATGATGACATGGTGAATTGCTGACGCCTTGCACTTTGCACATAGGCAATGCAGCATGCATCACGTGCGCGGGAAAGCAGGAAGGCCGACTGACATGGTTGCATTGCACAGCTTTATCCTTTATCCCCAGCATTCGTCGAATCACTGCACTGCACCGTGTGTGGGACGTAATTACTTGTTGCTGCTTGCCAGCAACAGTTACGCCGTGCAATGTCGCAAGACAAGTACAGCCGATGCACAATGCATGTTTATCGTGTCGGTAGCCGGGGCCATTGGGCCTTATAGAGCGTGGGACGACCTCATGGCTCGCGACATTACGTCACAGTCGCAGTGACGTTCATCCGCTACATCACTACATCACTACATCTCACATCGCTTCCTTTTGAGTACCCGGTTCAGTGCAAACCTACTATGCATGTTGTGCATGAACTGCAGCACATCTGAATCCATCTCCACCTGGGACCACGCAAAGAGTAGCACCAGTCCAGCAATGTTCACGTGCATCGTGTTGCCGAACATTCTGCATACATTTGATCGGCTCGGCCAATCGTCGTCATCCCCAGACATTGTTCTGGGCCTGGCGGCAAACGAGCAGCATGCCTTGCCATACGACATCGTCGGTGTGATCGGAAAACCCTGCAGCAGTGGAATCTCCCGAACAGACAGCCATCTCCGGCGGGACGATGAAAACCAAAGACAAGCGGAACTAACCAAGCATGGCATGACCTCACGCTGAATATGTTGAGCATGCAAAAGCACTGACACGAATGCAATGCAAAAAACATCATCTCAGTCACTACATGATCGGCCTGCGAATCACTTGCCACGTCCATTATCTCTGGGTTCTGATTGAGCGAGCAAATTCCATTCGCATATCTTTGTTCGTAGCCACGCAGAAACTTCAGCTCGCTCTCAGTGAGAGACTTTTCAAACGCATCATTGTCTTGAAGAGATGGCGGCGACTCCGATTGACCGACATCATTGTTGCTCTGCCAACAGCTACCGGATCGTTGGGACGCCCAGTCCAGTTCGTGTTGTAGTTGGTCGTCGTCTGTCCTTATCACATGAAAGCGGTTTTGTGTCCATGCGAAGGCTACCTGCTGCCAGGTACACTGTACACGTACACAGTACTCTCAGCTACACCGCAACATGTCAGGATGTGCTGCCCGGTGTCTCCCAAAAGAACATATCCCACGATGTGCCAGTGTGTAGCGACCTCTGAAAGAACCCACTGAACACATGTAGTAAGCTGCGGAATCCCATGGTCTTCACCCGGTGTCGTCCCCTGACACACAGGGCGACTTCATTCACAGATGAGTCAAACAAGTGGCAGCCGCACAAGCAATGGTCGAGCAGCGACTGACTAATTGACGACAAACCGTGACTAAGCCCAACACACTCCCCATTGTCTGTCTCGTCGAATCGGCCAACCGAACATGTGTGGAGACAAAACTCCAAAGGTCCACTCGTACTCCGGTAAAAGCTCGATCAAGACGGACATCGGGAATCCAGGAACATTTTCTTGTACCAGGATTGGTTCCTGTAAGACTTTGCGATGGGCTGCCCAAATTAATAAATGAGCGTACGTCATTCCACGCTCCTTGTCTAGGTTGCCGATGATTGAGTAGTCAGTACAGCTTGTCCCGGCTGTGTGACAGCAAGCAACCCTGCCTTCCATCGAACACACACAGTTGTGATTCGAGCACCATGCGCTCCTTAATCAATCCGGCAGCACGCGTTTGTATTCAACAACAAAGCTGGAATTGAAACTCCAGACAAGACTCAATTAGACTCAATCGCAAAGACGCTGTTAAAGACGTTCTATCGTGTTCACAAGGGCAAGCAAGATTCAGCGATACTGCCTTCGCGGGGTTCTCCATGATCACAGGCTGCAACACGGTCCGGAGCTTGTCCGTCCGAACCAGCTCAGGCAGCATCAACTTCAGGTGTTCGTGAAGGAAGCTCTCAAGGTTGCCGAAGATGCAGGTCGCAGTAGATGGATGCCACTGCAGCTCTCGCTGACACGCCACATTCATTTCAACTGCAAAGAAATGAGCAGGTTCGGAAACATGAAAACCAAGTGATTGTGACATAGCAAGGAAACTCATGACCGCTGTTCCTGGAGAATCAATGCCTGAGTAGGCAGTGCTCATCGATGTGAGCCCAGCTCGAGCAACCAGTCCTCGTAGAGATCTGGCCACACCAGACGTAGTTCCAAGCATATTGCTAAGGAAATCATCGCTGGTAACAATATCCGGATCGTCATTGATCAAATTTGCAAGCTTGTCGTTCCGAATTTGCGTTTGGGAAGCATACGTCTGCAAGGCATGTCCTGGCCAGCCCAGGATGCAGACAGAGTTGACTCGTGGAGAACACAACCACACAACCAAGGATCCAAGACACGAACCCAAACTCCCACAACTAGAACTCTGGACATGGGACTTTGGATCTGTGACAGTGGACTGTGGACTGTGGAACATTTACCCGTGAGGAGCACTACGCACACGAATAAGAAAAAGTCAACCGATTTGGCGGGGTTGAGCATGAGCGTCCAAAAGCATCATCCAGCGAGGCAACAACATTGCCGCTGCACAGCTCTGCGTTCCCTGCAACCCCGTGATGCGTCTCGGGTAGATCCTTGCTGCAGCAACAACCGCTCACTATTCATGAATCGTTGCGTTGCGCAGCACCACTTCACTGCACCAGACTAGCCCAGCCTGTGTGGACGCCGCGCACAGCAACGGTTGAACGTGATGATCGTTCTGCTGCATTTGCCTAACACTCCACAGCACATAACAGTGCGTGCAATGGCAATGGGTTGAAGGCCGGTCAGAAATAAACTGAAAAAAGGTAGTAGTCAGTAGTCCAAGTTTCTGTGAGGATGACTTCGCCATATCTCCATTCCCATCGTCAACACGCAGGTCCTCAGCAACGAGTCGTAAAGGAAGCGATATTCGTCTTGCCGTGTTGTTAGTTGTTGGGTGGTGACAGGACCTACACCGACACTGCACTAAACATCAGTACAAGTGCCACAGTCATAGCGTCAGCGTCACAACACAACGCAACAACAACTACAACTTTTCCAGCCAATGAGCAAGCTCCAGCACAGACTCCACACATTGTCGCTTTGCCGCTGGCTCTGCAAGCTCTACTAATGGTGGACTGCCAGTTGTTCCTTCACCAGTGGCCATTGTTTCATAGTCTGACATGTTGTTGTGAAGCGTATCGTCTGTTGGCTGTGGTGCTGCTGCAGTGGCACATGTTGTGTCGAGAGCTTCACTTGTGTCACGTGAGCATGTCACGACGGCGGTGTGGCACTCGTGCACCCCATTGCCTTCATGATCGACACCGTCACAAGGCTGCACGTTGCCAATGGCGTGCGGATTACCTGGATGTGCGAGCTCAGGCCCTTCTGCTTGCTGAGATTCATCTGCAGGCTCAAGCTGTTCAGCACGGGGAACAGTGTCGGTGGCTGTTACATCCTCATCCTCCGGCGCCGGCTCGGTCGCTGTGGGCCGCAGCTGTGTGTCCGCACTGGCAACATCGGTCGTTGATGGCTTAGGGCACTGGGCAGATGACACCGTTGCAGTCTTGTCCGAGTCCCGGTCATTTGATGTGGTGCATGATTCATGCTCGGCTACACTGCAGTGCGGCGTCTTGCCCGGCAACGTGGCTTGCACCATGAACTTCTCAATTGCAGCGCATTGTGTTGGCAAATGTGCAGAGCCCCACCCTACTCTGAGCTTGCAATCTCTGAGCACAGCGGTGTTTTTGGGGGACACCAGGTACAGTGCTAAGCAGTACACAATAGATTTCGGCTTCGCCCCAATCATGGTTCTGATTTGAGATAATGTCTTCTCGATTGAATACAGCGCCTTGTACGTATCCATGTTCTGTTCGCACAACGAAAACGAAAGATGCAGCTTGCATGTTGCTACCAGCTTAACCTGCTTGCCAACGATCTCCACAAGGGCAATCACTGGTTGATCCAACGAGCTCACCTTCTTCGGTGGCGGCAGAGTCCTTCGAGCGCAAAAGCAACGTGCTACACAGTATGCAATGTGACGGCAGCACTAAGTGGCAGCAGGACTGACTGTCGGTCCTGTACAACACAAACTTGACCTGGCTATTGGGAGTCTTGCTTCTGATATCATCATCGTCCCAGGATGTAAGAGCGCACACGGGAGTTGCATGATCACTGTACACTGTTGGCATTGCGTGCACTCAAAAGCTCAGCAGATTTATGGTGAAGGTGAAGGGTCGAGCGTTGAGTGAACTAGTGAACTATGCATAACATGAAGAATGTTGCAGAAACATGTGCTTCGCTTGGCTGCTAATACTGGTGCGTTTTGGCACATGGTTCCTCACTCGCTGATAACACAGCATCCACAATGAGAACTGCATGCTGCGTCAGCGAATGTCAATCACAACTCGCACATGTGCGTCAGCACTTGCACAAGTGAGAACAAAGGTTTCCAACGCAAGCAACATGTGAGAGACAAAGGGGGGTGCACTGGCGGCGGTGGCACCTGTCATTGATGTTGTCATCACCAGTGGTGTATCAATGTGTCCTGAGCACACAGTGTGTGCGCCAAATTAAACAAAAGCAATGCGTCCGACAATAACAAGTATTCCGATCATGTTCACGCACTACCACTTGCAACCAAGCGTCCTTCTTTTGAGTTGGCAGTGAACGCATCACAGCCTAGAGGGCATGGGGGCCGAGGTTCCGAGAGAGGGGTCTGGGGGTCGGGTGGGGGGGTCGGGCAGGGTGCTCGAGGGAGGGGTTGGAGGGGGGGGGTTGGGCGGGGTGCCCGAGAGGGGGGG